TTATTTGTATTTTAAAATATTAACTTTTATTTTGAATAAAAAATAATTTTTCAAAATCAATATTTACTACTATATATTTTTTACAATAATAAAGTGTAAGCAATGTAACATGAAATAAATGAATTATGCAAACACAAATTGAAAGATGCAAATGATCAATTTAATTAATCTTATAAATCTTTAATTTTATTTCTTTTTTATAATTAATTTTAAGAAAATTTAATGATAAAAGAAATTTTCCTTATTTATTTTTTTGTATTGGAAAACTTTTTTAATTCCCCAATAACTAAATGAAATTTAAGAAAATTAATCATTTACTTAAGAAATATTCAAAATTAATTTTTGGTGAAAATCAAAATGATATTCCTTAGTAAAGATATGATTTGAATTTCCTCCAATATCTAGGCAGGATTTTCAAAATTATTTTTTTGAAATATTATTTTATATATATTTTTCTAAATTAAGATTTTACTATTTCACATTTATTATTAATGCATAAAATGCATACATGACAATATGAGTATAAATTAAATAATGCATGTAATTATATTTCTTTTCCCAATAGATTTTATTTAGGATGGAAATGACATTTTTTATATTAAAATATTTTTACCCTATTACATCTTTTTTTATCCCTCAATATCTACGTGGGGTTAAAGAAACATTGATCTTTCACTTGGAAAGTTTACTTTTTTTTAAAGAAAGATAATATTTTTTTGTAAAAAATAATTATTTGAATTTTTTCAATATCTAAGTAAGGTCTTTAAAATTATTTTTTACTTAAAAATATCATCTTTTTTATTTTATTTCGAAAAACTAATCACTCCATTTGCAAGCACTTCATAACAATAAAAATATTGTAATATCAAACATTCACAATTTTTATTTTCACAAATATCATTTTTCCATGATATGCATGCAAAAGAAAAATAAATAAATAAATGAATATATACCAAAATGATTAAAACAAAAAGATTATACTCAACAAAGCCCAAAACAAAAAGTCCACTTAATCCCAACAAACCGAACTGCTAGGCCAAAACTTACTTGGATTGGGTTTTTAAAAAATCGATTTAGGTCGGGTTTGGGCCAAGGGTCACTAGTTGACCAAGTAGATTCCTCTTTATTTTTTTTTTAATTCCTAAACCCTTTTGACTTTTCAAACCTTGTCATTTTTGCCTTTTTTCTTATTCTTCTTCTTTATCTTCTTCCAAACACTAAATCTAAACTTCTTTTTTTTTTCTTCTTTTTTTTTCTTCCTCTTTTCTTTCGTTTTCTTCTCTCTGCTAAAACTTTTTTCCTATCATGCCTCTAAATTTCAAAATTAATAAAAAAAAAAGCTTCATTTAAACACTTTTCTTTATTTCATTTTTTACTTAACTGGTTTTCATCCTTTTTTATTATAGTTATTCAAAATTGCTAGGATAAGGGATAAAAAGAGTAATGATTTTAATGGTGTAAGATGCACAAAGGTGATGACAAAGAGTTCTAGTGAAGGATGAAGAGATTAAGAAAAGATAAAGAAATTATTTTGATAATCTCTTTAATAGCAATTTTAAGTACAATAGAAGTGAGCTTAGCATACATTTTCAAGATATCAATCAGATGTTTAAATAGAATATTAAAAGGTATGAGGTTAAAGAAGCTTTGAGAAGAATGAAATCAAATAAAGCGATAGGACTAGACGGAATATTGATTAAAGTTTGGAAATGTTTCAATGAAATAGGGATAAAATGGTTAGCGAATCTTTTCAACAAAATTTGGTGTACTCAAAAGATGCTAGAAAAATGGAAGAAGAGTACTCTAGTGCTTACATACAAGAATAAAGTTGATATATAAAATTGTTTGAAATATCAAGGAATAAAGCTTATAAATTATACTATGAAACTTTGGTAACGAGTAACTAAATGTAGGTTGAGACATAAGGTTACTATTTTTGAAAACCAATTTGGGTTTATACTATGACACTTCACAATAGAGGCAATTCTTTTAAGAAACATCTACATATGACATTTATTGATTTTGAGAAGGTATCTGATAAAGTTTCTTGAAAGGTGCTTTGATGGGCCTTAATGAAAAAAAGTTTTTTTAAAGTACATTAACATAGTTAAGGACATGTATGAAGGTGTTGTAATGAATGTGAAGACAGTTAGGGGCATAATTGATAGCTTTCCCATTACTTGAGGATTGCATTAAGGCTCAGCACTGAGTCCACTTCTTTTTACATTAGTTATAAACGAGCTCACTAGACATATTCAAGACGAAGTGCCATGGTGTATGTTATTTGTAGATGATATAGTTTTAGTTGCTAAAACTGGTGATCACCTTAATGCAAAATTAGAATTATGGAGGTATAAACTAGGTCTCAAAGCTTTAGATTGAGTAGATTTAAAACTAAATATATGGAATGTAAGTTTAGTAATCAAAGGGAAACGAATGGTAATGTAATTAAGTTATATGGTGAGGTAGTACAAAATAGTAGCCATTTTCAATATTTGAGATCAATTATTCAAAGCGATGTTGAAATGGAAAGAGATATAAATTATAGAATTCAAGTAGAATAGATGAGGTGCCAAAGTATGTTAGGTGTGTTGTATAATCGCAACATATCTTTAAAGTTAAAGATGAAGATGCATAAAACGACTGTAAGACTTGTGTTGTTATATGGAATTGAGTATTGGGCTGTTAAGAAACAACATGAAAAAAAAAATGAGCGTAACTGAGATGAGGATGCTTGGATGAATGTGTGATAAGACTAGAAGAGACAAAATAAAAAATGAAGAGATTCGAAGAAATTATAGGTAGTTCGAATTAAGAAAAAAATGAGAGAAAGCTGCTTAAAATGATTTGCACATATGAAACGTATACCTAGTTGTGCACCAGTTAAGAGAGGTGAGCTTTTAAATTTAAAAAAAATAGCAAAACTTTTAGAGGTAAATCACGAAAGACGTAGATGCAAGTAATAAAAAATAATATAAAGATAAAAAAATAGATGAAAATGTTATTGTAGATAAAAATGAGTGATGCAAGAAGATTCGAACCCATGACCTAACATGATTTTGTTTTTGGTGTTTTATACAATCGACCTCAAAGTTATAGGATATAAAGCTTAGTTGTTGTTATTGTTGTTTTCTCTTTGAGGATATGGTTGTCCTTGAGTCTCTTTTTTGTTTTTGTTGGAAGTTTGACTAGTATTTTTTTGCTTGATGATTTTGGTTTTGGTGGAAGTGGTTTGGGGCTTTTGGGAATGGGAGTCTAACCGAGGTTATAGGCTAGGGATGGTTTTGTTTATTTGTGGTCTGGCGGTAACTTTGGGTGACGGTGGACTATGAAGGTTGTGAGCTTTGGATGACGGGATGTGATTTGGGTGAGTCGGCTCTATGATGGTAGTTTCCATCTTGTGGTTTAGTGGGTGTTCGGGTCTGGGCTTCGGGTAGGTTGTGGGGAACATAGGGGTAGTGGTGGGAGGAGACAATAGTGAGGGTGTTGAGATTTGGTGGCTCTAGAGCTGTTGGTGAGAACAGGTTGATAGAGGTTGCAGAGGAGTTATCTGGTAGTGTGCTTTGGATCAAGGGCAGTTTGGTGGGGAAGCTAGTTGGTGAGGAAGGGTTTTTATGTTTCATGGAAGGATCTTAGCTCATGTTGGTTTTTTATTGCTTCAACTTTTTATGTGATTTTTTTAGAAAAAAAAAAAAAAAGGCTTCCCCTTTCTCTGAGAATTGTTCAAGGTTTTTATAGTATGCTCTAATTTTTAAGTCACTTTGTATGAGATGCAGCCAATTAACCATGCTTGATTGAAGTTTTTGGGAGTTTCTTGCAGACGGGCAGCAATGACTATCGGTTTTAGGGAGTGTTGCATGCCGATTTTGGGGTTGTTGTGCTTGCTGATTTTTGAGTGCAGGGAAAGTGATAGAGGGTGGTTTGATAAAATTGACTTGAAAGTGGTAGGGGGACGGAATGGGAGGAAAAGATTTTGAGTAAAAAGAAAGTCGGCTGCCGTGCTAAACTTTGCATTGACTATTTTTAAAAAATTAATTTTTTTACCACATTTATTAATCTAATTTAAAAAGGCTTAAGGGCTTAAAAATTAAAAGGATTTATTAGTCGACTTTTAAGCTTAGATGCCCCAATTTGATTTAGTATCAAATTGGGCTGGACTTTAGTTAATGCAAGACCATCTATAATTACTTCAAATAAACCCCAAATGAAATAATCCAATTAGAAGGTTCAAGCCCAAATAAAATATGCCAAAAAATTTTAAAATTATCCCAGGACAAAAATTCTGTGCCAACAGCTATTTCAACACTTTGGCTCCGTTTGTTACAGCGGAAAACCACTTCAAAAAATGATTTTTCGTGTTTTCCAGTGCTTGGATAGCAAAACCGAAAAAGTTAATTGAAATAATTTTCCGGTCATGAAATTAAGTTCCAAGTCAATGCTCACTAATCAATCTTTCCAGCCAATTAGTTGGACCAAATGTGTCCAAATATCCATTGCTTGGTTTTTCCAGAAACTTTTCAAGTTATCAAGGCTTATTGAAAACATAAAAATCTAAACTTTGATATTAACTCGAGCTGATAATTTATATATATATTATGTTTTATTAAAATATTAAAAATATTTTTATATTTTTAAATATATGTTATAAATAAAATTAAATACACATTTATAAAGAAATTATGGAATCAAAATTCTAAATTGGAAGCCGGTCAAAGCTACAAAGTCGTAACAAAGAACAAGTTTTGCAATATCCAAGAAAAAAAAAGACGGATATAAATGCGGCGCCCCCAAGGATGAGACGCAACGGTTCCTTCTTGAAAACATTGTACAATAATGAAGAGCCACTGTTCCAATTCTGTCTTTTCACTTTTGTCCTTGGTCACCGTAAAATAGACAAGAAATATCGTCTATATCTATATGTATCACATTGCGCAGGCCATCATGTTGCACGTTTGAGTAGATATATAGTAATTGAAAAATTAGAGAAGGAAGAACGAGTCATGGATTCTGGTGCAGCTGCTGGTTCATCATCAAGAACCAATCGATCTACTTTAGAGAGAGAACGAAGAATGCGTTTGAGAAATCTCTATTCCCAGCTCGCTTCTTTCCTTCCTCCTCAACCAAGGAAGGTACAATTAAATTAAATCATCTCGTTCCATTGTCTCCATTCTCTCTCTGCTTCCATATCAGATTAAATTTGTTTTAATTAGTTTGAAATATTGAATTGGATTAATCTTGTAGATGTCGACGTACGAAATGTTAGAGCAGGTCACCGTATATGTAAACCAGCTGCGAAAACGAGTGGAAGAACTCAAACAAATGAAGTTGCAAGTTGAAGAGGAGTGCAGAGAAATGAGAAGTGGACCAAGTCTTATATCCCCAGTCATCAATATAACAGAATTGGATTCTACGCTGGAAGTTAATTTAATTACTGGGTTCGATAAGAAGTTTAAATTAGGCGACGTTATTAAAATTCTCCTGGAAGAAGGAGCTGAAGTTTTAACAGCTGCTGCAAACCATAATGCAGGAGACACGATCATCTATTCAATTCATTGCCGGGTATATTTTTCGACACCCCATAAAAGTAATTTTCAAGAGGAAGAACTATTTATAGCAGAAACACTATTCAATTTGATCAAATTGTTCTTAGAGTGCATGGTTTTTTATTTTTCAAAAGAGTTCACAATTTGAGAATATAAAAGAAGATTTCAAGTGTTAAAATTTAAATTTCAAATTTTTTAAATATCACTTTTTAACAGTGATTACATAAAATAATTAAATTAAATTTTGAATTTAGTACATAGATTTTTTAAGTAGATATAAAAAAACAGTATTCTCTGATTTTACGTTCACTCCATACTTTAAAAGTAGCAAATGATCGACATTGCAATTTTAGGAAATAATAAAAAGACAACTCATGTTTAACCCCAGTTGTTTCCTCTAAGATTCAAGATTTGAATTCTTAAGGAGAAGGTAACTTTGCCCGGATATGATTGAGCTGTAAGGGTTACCACTTGCCAAATACAATTCATTAATCAAGCCCTATGTAGTACTACTTTTTTCAGATAGTTAATTAAAAGAGCCTTTCTTTCTCTAACTTGTGAAATCGATCCCTTCTTGTCTATATTTTTTCACAGGCTTTCAGTTCTAGAATTGGCATCGCGACTTCAAGAGTGCAGGAGAGATTGAAAGGCCTGGTTTCTTGAAGCTGGTTTTGGCAATTAAACCAAGTTTTATAATTTTATTATTGTTATTTGCCTTGTTTATAATAGTTACCATTTTATTATGGGTTATCTATTGGTGGATCCTTTAAGCCTTTTAGAATTTTATTATAAATTTGTTATTTTGTTTAAGGGTTGAGTAAGAAGTTGTGAGGTTGTGAGACTAGGGCTCAGAGAAATTGAGTGTTTGTTTAAGTCTTTGAGTGCGGCTCAAAAAGTTGTTTTTGGAATCTAGTTGGGTTAAATAAAATATTGCGTACTTGTGTATTGTTGTTGTAACATGTGAGCCGAGAATCTAATCATTTAGGTAAAATTTTAAAAATATAAAAATATTGTAATTAATTTTTTGGTTAGGTGTGATTTATTATTTTAAAAAAATTATTTTAAAATAAAATTTTGAAATTAATTAAGATTTATTTAAAATATGATTTTTGGTTTGTGAAAAAATGAAATCGAGTTTGAAAGTATAATTATGCATGAGAAAAAATTAATATTTTATAACATTTATTTTAAAAACGGTAATAATTAATCATGTGATATCATTTAACCTTAATAAAAGTGATTTTAATTTTGATATTTAAAAATAACTTTCTTAGTTTCATTTATTGTAACAAAAAATTTTTTGTTAATTTTTCTAAATCATTTTTCAGAACAAAATAAAAATCTTTGGTTTGGAAATTTTTTTTTGAATTCTCCAATAATATTTAAATTGAATTTCAAAAAAAATGTTTGCACTTGAGAAATTTCACAATAATCCTTAAAATTGAAAATAATATTCGTTAATAACAAATAATTATTGAGAATCCCTTTAATATTTAAGTAAGATCATAAAAATTATTTTTACTTGAGAATATTTTTTTCTTATTTCTAAAAAACTCGTTTTTTAAATTTAGCATTTCATCATTTCACATTACTACTAACAAGTACAATGTATATAATGTCATATGAAATAACTTATACAAATAAAAATCACACAATGCAAATAGTCAGTTTTATTCTATTCTTTTCAAATCTATCTTATTATTATTATTATTATCTCAAAAAAAAATTTAGAAATAAAATAAACATCTTTAGTGTTAAAAAATTAATTTCCCTAATTTTCCAATATGGAGATAAAATTTAGAAAAATTAATTCTCTACTTAAAAATTTTGCATCATAATTTTTTGTTGATAAAACAAAGGTAATATTTCTTGATAAAAATAACCATTTGATTTCCTTCCAATAGGTAGAGTTTTCAAATTTATTTTTATTTAAAAATATTATCATATATTTTATCTCTAAAATCCAACAATTATCTCATTTTAATGTTTCATGTAAAATTTTCAACAACACGATTATGAAAATTTTTTACAAACACTATTTTTCGAAGCATTCATACATTTTTTAATATTTGGAACATGAATTTTATAAATTGATTTGTGAATACAAAAAAATAAAAAAATAGAGAAATTATACCCCACATGATCTTGATTGAAACAAAAAAAACAAGTCTAATGGCCTAGAATGCAGTGGGCTCCTTGGTCAAACATGAGCTGATGGGGTTCAACATGGGTGGGCTAAATCTGATTTTCCTTCTTTCTTTTTATTTTCTTCATTCTCTCCTTTCATTTCTTTTCCTACAAGCACCATTTTGGTGATAATTAAAATTTCAAAATTTTTTTATTCATTTCACCTTTTTTTTCTTTTCTCTCTACCTCATTTCTCTCTTTAATACTCTTATGTTTAGGGTTGTAAACGAATCGAACATGAATAAATAAATTTATATCTATGGTTTTTCCATTTTATTTTTAGATATGTTTGGGCTCGATTCGTGTTCGGTAAAAAAATTGATATGTTCGTTCAAGCTTAGTTCATTTAAATGATAAGATGTTCATATTTGATTCATGCTCAATTCAATTAAATTAAATAAAATTGTTGATTTGTGAATAAAAGAATAAAAAAATAGAGAAATTATACCATACATGATTGTGATTAAAACCCAAAAGACACGTTTAATGGCCTAGAATGCAATGGGCTCCTCAATTAGACACGAATTGGATCAGGTTTAACATGGGTGGGCCCAATCTAATTTTTCGTCTTTCTTTTTATTTTCTTCATTCTCTCTTCGTCTTTCTTTTCCTACACGCACCGTTTTGGTGACAATTAAAATGTCAAAATTTTTTTTGTTCATTTCACCCTTTTTTCATCTCTCTCTACCTGATTTCTCTCTTTAATACAATCTCATGTTTAGGGCTATAAATAAATCGAACATGAACACACAAATATATGTCTGTGGTTTGTCCATTTATTTTTAGAGGTATTCAAGCTCGGTTCATGTTCTAGAAAAAAATTGATCTGTTTGTTTAAACTTGGTTTATTTAAATGATAGGATATTCATATTCGATTTATGTTCGGTTCAATTAAGTTAAATAAGCTTGTTTGTGAACATTAAATGAATATATTCACAAACATATATAAATGAATATCTTCACGAATAATAAATAAAACCATAACTAGATAAATTTAAACAAACAAATTTTAAATGAATATAAACGAACCCAAATGAATATAAACGAAACTTAAAATAGGATTAGGATAGAGGATAAAAAGGTAATTTTGTTGATATTATTATAAACGAACAATAAAAGAATAACAAACGAATAATAAACTGATGAGTTTTAAACAAACATTAAACAACTTGTTCATGAATATAAATGAATTGAACAGGCCACTATTCATTGAGTTTTTTCTTATAATAAGGTGTTTATAAATCTTTATTCTTAAAATGGGGTACTTTTATCCTTATTTCTTAAAATAGGATAATTTTTGCTATGTAAGCATTTAACTAAGGCTTGACTTTAGTGGTTAGGGTTTTCTTTCGCCTTCCATGTTTTTTTTCTTTTCTCAATTACCTTATATATGGAACTTTGGTCTCAATTTTACAAATTTCAAAATTTGACAACTCAAACACTACTAATAGATTAAACTAAAGCTCAGCCTTTAACGAAATTGATAGATTACACTCTTTTAAGCAACAGAAACATAACAATTCAACTGCACTTTTTTAACATAAAGATCGACATTATCATTCATGTTTGGAAAAATGTATTTTCCTAGTTCAACCCATTTAGTTTTTAAAAATAATAATAAAATAAACTAAAAATCCAGTATGGATTCTCTGTTTCTTCAACCTATAATCTATCTTCAAATTCTCCAAACTAGACAAATCTCCATCATCATTTTTTCTCTCATTTTTACTTCCTCTTTTTACTCTCTTTAGGTGAATTTGGCAATATTCTTAGGAAAAATGTCAATGCACCAAGCTGTTTGCTAACCATCATTTTTAGAATTGTTTTTGTTGTTTTGGGGTGGTTTAATGAAGAAAGTTTGAAAAAGGTAGTTGGATTCAAGCGAGATTTAACTAAATTTTAGTGAATTATGTTGAAGGTTGGCTTTGTGAAGGATTTGGCAGTCTAATGAAAAGAGTGCATGTTTTTGGGTTTTATCAAATAGGTAAAGAAGCAAGAAAAAAAATTGAAAGGAAAAACAAGGTCAAGAGAGAAGTTAAGGGCTTATGTAGCAATTAAATCCCAAAATACCCTATTTTAAGAAATAAGAATAAAAGTATCCCATATTGAGAATAAATATTTTTAAATACTCTAGGTTAATAAAAAGTTTTCTGTTCATATTCAGTTCGTTTAATAAACGAATATAGAAATACTATTTATGATCATTTATTAAGTTTAATAAATAAATATAAACGAACAATAATTGAATATGTTCATGAACAGTTCATTGAAAAATTTCGCTCATTTACACCCCTACATGTCTCTAGCTTAAGCAACTGGTAGCCACCATAAACCCAAAACTCGATGGCTTTTCATCATTATAGCCTCCCCTTTCATTGTAGGCCATCGCTTATTGAAATAAGTTTGAGCCTAAAATACACTAAAAGATTCCTTGTTGCCTCATCTTTTAACCTATTCTAGTGGATTTTTCCAAAACTATCTAAATCTTCCTAGATCTAAAAAACAAACCTAAAACTTTAACACAAAAAAATCCTCTTGCTATTGCTCAATCCTTTTTTACTTTTAGTATGTTGTTTTCCCTTTTTTATTCTCCATTTTCACCAACTTGAATTCTTTAAAGCCCTTTGCCTTTGTGGGCAGTTGGTCACCACTACCTCCGATTGTCATTTTTTCTGGTTATGGTGGTTTCGATCACCTCTC